TTTTGAATAGCTCTTATGAATTACTGTCTTCTTTTTAGTACTGTAAAGATGGCTGGATTTGTTTTATTTTTTGGCTTCCAGCTTGTAGTTTATTCACTCAGGCAGTTGCATTGGCCTGTAAATTAAAACAAACAAAAAAAAAGCAATTAAAAAAACAAACAAACAAAAGAGTTTGGGTTTACATTGCTCTTACCTCAATCAGATAGATAATGTCTATTGTGCTGCAGCTGTTGGTGGCAGTCTTTTTTTCTCCTGGAAAGTGTCAGGAGTAGTGTAGTGTAATGAGGCGCAGAAGCCAGTGCCTTCACCCCGTCCTCAAAGTCACAGAAGGGGCACTCGGTAGCTTACGTAAATTTTCCTTTTTCAAAGATACAGATAGGAAAAGCTTTCTACTGTAGCAGGTGCTTACTTTCACTGTATTAGCAAAAGAATAATTAGCATGAGTTTTTGAAGAGTTAATATGTAAGGAGGAAAATTTTGGAACATTTGTTTTATAAATGAGGCAAAATAATGATGTATTCTTGCTTTGTTTTTTTTTTCCTTGAATGAAAAGCTAGAAAATAATTTTTTTTTTTTTAAATTATAGTGTTTGGAGTTAATCAGAGAAATAACAGAGGGGCTGACACTTTTCTTGTTGCTTACAAATTGTAAATTGCAGTTATTTGCAATCATGCTTATAGCTGGCGTGGGTTCATGTGCGTAATCAGATGCTTTTTGAATGCATGTTCCATTGTTCTGTTTTATTTATGGATTCATTTGTGATGAGAAAGACATTATAAAGTTGTTTGGATGAAGCCTTGGAAATGTGTTTTAGGAGTTTTGAATGTCAGCAAGTGCCTGGAGTTTGGGGTACAAATCAGGGCTGTGCACAGCAATGGAAATTTAGATGGAACAGTTGAAGAGTTTCCATCTTCAGGTTCTTCTTCCTGACTTTATGCACGCACTAGCAAAAGTCAGGACTGATGCAGGTACATTCCTACTGCCCAGTTGAAATACAGCCAAACCCAAAAGCCTTAAAGCCAGCAGTTTTCCCATTGATGTTAACATCTGGACCTGTTTGCAGTCTGATCTGCTCCCATTCCTGTTAGAACAGGGGAGTGAATTTTTGCCTCCAGCCTCCTTGGTGCTGCTGCTCGTCAGCACTAACCTTCCGATTGAAGTGAGTTTGCTTATGTGATTATTTTTTCTGAATAGATACAGTTATGTGCCAAGGCCACTACAGGGAATGGTGGGTTGCTCAGGAGAGACTGCCTGTCTTACTTGCTGATTCCCATTTCACTTGCTAAGTCCATCTGGGCTCTTTGAGTTTTTGCTTTCTAAAATTTTTGTTCCAGTCCATCCATCACTTTGTATCTTACTCTACTTGAACTGCTTGCTTTTCTGGAAAGGCATCGGTTGTATGTTTGTTGATATACAGCCACGTAGGACTGCAGTCTTTCTTTCACTGAAATATCTATAATACCAATAACTAATTTCTCTGTCTTCCCAGTGACAGATTTTTTCCCCCTTATGCTTTTCGGTGAAAGCAATATCTTGACTGAAAACAAGAGCCAAGAGATGAACTTGAACATCATCCAGTTCTTCCTGTTGGATCTCTAAAGGAGATAGTGGGGCTTGTTGTGGGAACAGTAACAAAAACTGGCTGTGGGCTGGCTTCTCAGTCTTATTTGGGGAAGTACCTTGTACTCCCATCTATGCCCCATCCCTTCAGGTGCTCAACGCCAGGTTGGATGGGACCATGGACAACCTGATCTAGTGCCTGATTTGACCCAGCCTGGGGCAGGGGATTAGAACTAGATGATCTTTGAGGTCTCTTCCTACCAAACTGTTCTGTGATTCTACTATCTTGCTATGTAAGTGAACTTCTTTACTGTTCTTCTCCCTGCTGCTCTCCCCCAGCCATAGCAATTATTGTTTTAACTGAATTTAATTAAATCAGCCACAGTATTCCACAGCAGATAATACAGCTGCGGAAGTGGTGCGTATTGCAGGACAATGCCATGCCACGAGCAGCTGTAAATGCTTTCTACACAGGGTTAAAATCCTGTATTGGCTCTCTAAAAAATCATCAAATTTCAAACAGGAAGAAAATAAACGGGTTGGTTAGGTACTAAGCAAGAAGCTTTTAATTAAAAGATGTTTAAACTGATTCTCTCAACTGTCAGAGAATTGAATTCCTGAATTATGTTTGCTACAGTTGGTGTTGGTTTTTTTTTTTAGTAACACTGTATTTAAGTTCTTTCTGTGCACTGCTGTAGGGGATTTAGATGGTAGCTCCTGACAGATTCACCCACAGCTGGCTGAGAACACCACTAGTGATGGATGAATGATGTCTTTGTTAATGCCCCCGTATCCATAAATGATGGGCTTTATTTATTTATAAGATGTATCCAATTACACATCTTAGAGCAAATGTCCACCGTTCAGTAAAGCACACAATATTGGCATTGAAAAGGCAATCCCTGAAATCAGTGATCGATGCATTTTCCGCACTCTCAGGAGGAGAGTTTGAAATAAGAGAGAAACATAAAATTCTGCTAATTCAGATCGGTTCTTTTGGGACCTGGCTCCTTGTTTGTAGTAAGCGGTTGAAACTCAATCAAGAAAGCTGTTGTCCCTGCTCCGGCCATATGTGGAGCTGCTGCTGGGAATGCTGAGCACTGAGGTCACTCTTCCTCATGTCTGGATGGACCGCTCCCACCGGTACAGTGGGTCAGGTTCTCTTGTCAGGTAGCAATGGCTAAGGTTCATGAAGCTGGTACCCACTGGGATGTGTTGCAGTGAAGCAAACAATCCTAGTTAAGGAAAATTAATGGTTTTACCCTTCGTGTATAGGACATGCCTTCTTTTCTTTTCCTTGCATCTGTATGTGTTTGTACTCAACAGTTGGTTCAATTTAGAACTTGAGATATCCAACCAAGAGTTGAAACTTCACAGCACAATCTGCATCAGTTTCTTTTGTCAACTAGGTCAACTCTGAAATAATTCTCTAGTGTTTAGCTACAGAAGAATTAGTCAGGATTAAGATAGGGGTGTTAAACACCTTTAGATTTAACTCTGCTTCCCCTCTTGTTAGGTACCTTCTTCACCTAAAGGCAGGGCAAATACAGGCTCATAGATGCACTGTGATGTTACCCCTGCTTTTCTTATGGTAACTCATTTATATTGAAATGTTCCAAGTTACAGTGATGGCACAGATATATAATAAAAGCAAAACCTGAGTCTTCCAACCTATTGATGAGCAGAAGACTCCTGTCCAGCCCTTGATTCCAGCCTGCCTTTGGTCCTTCTGCCTTGTGCACCGTTCTCTCCTGATGGTGACAGCCCGGCAGCTTATTAAGCCCCTCTCCAGAGGCAGGGGGTAGTAAGCATGGCTTGTTCCTTGCTTTCAATTCCTGTGAAGTGTAGCAAACATACTTGTTTCTAATTCCGTCCTGCTGGCTGTTTTTGAAATGTGTTTTCATGCTGGATATGATACTTCTGCAAGAATTTATATTCGCAGCAAGGCTTAGCAAGACAGAATTGCAACTACAAGGCAAATCATTTAGAGTTCAGCTTGGTTTCTAGGAACAGAGGCTTGCTAGTTATTTTTCACTGGTTTCTGTGCTATTACATTGTTGTGATAATCTTGGCAGGGATCTGTCATTCTGCGTCGGTATAATTGAAACTTGTTTTCCCTGAGGAATCACTCTGCTGTTTGTTTTATTTGTTTACTGACATTGACAGAGATCCTAATGGCTTTTAAAACCCAATTTGTGCATCGCTGAATATCCTCCAAAGAGGAAAATAAAATTAAATTTATCAGCAAGATAGGGTCCTCTGTGCAGTGCTGTAGCTGGGTCTTAGACTCCACCTGAGAACCTCACTTTGGGTCAAGAAATGTCATGAGGAGCCTTTTGTGAGTTGCATCTTCTCTGTTTCTGATTCTGTCTTCAGGGATTTTGCCATTAAGGGCAAAAGACAACAAGTTGTTTAGGGCCTCGGTATAAATTGACTGAGTTTGCTTTGCGTGATGTAAGATATTTTTTTAGCTTTTGTTAAAAATGAGGTTAAAGGAACAAAATAATATGACAGTAAAATTCCCTTTTCAGGAGGATGTACAGAATGGTGTTAGTGTGATAGATCATATTACTGTGCTGCTATTATTATGATAGATTAGGGTAATTAAGTGTGTAGATTTATTTTTAAAATATAAGATATTGAAGTATTTATGCATTCATTTAATTTTAAATCTTTAAAGAATTTCAGTGAGATACTTGAACTACTGAAGCTTGTAATACCTTGCTGAGTTGTGGCTGTGGATAGATGTATGGCTTGTTGGATGTCATGCTCCAGAGGAGCATGTACACAGATAAATAATGAAGCACTGGACAGAAAGTCAGGAACACAATGAGGAAGGGTAGCTTTCTTACAAAGACTAAAGAATGTGTAGGGTGATTTTTTTTTCCCACTGCCCCCAGATCTATGATTTTTAATTGGATAGAGATTTATGTAATTTTTTATTTTGCTGAATTGATTTAGACCATCTCTAATTACCTTCTGACACGCTTCCTTGTCATTCAAGCATGTAGGGATGCTCAGGTTTCAGTGAACTCTTGATTGTGAACGTCGTGAGGAGATAAGTTTGGAAAATATTGCTGGTTTTAAAGGTTACCTGTCAGCTTTTATATATACAGCTGTGAGCCAAACCAATCTGACCTCAAACCAGAGCTGTTGTATAATAACACTCTGCCTTTTTATTGAATATCTCTTTTGCAAATCTCCCAGACTTGATAGCGCTATAATAATAATAGATGAGCAAAACCTATACTGCCTCTTTTAAGGAAATGTTCTAATGAGTCTTGGTGGACAGTACTCACTTTTTACATGTGGTAAATTAGAGAAACGGAGAGAGCCCAGACCATCTGACTTGCCCTCCTCATTCTCATTGCTTGGTTCAGTAGTGCAGATCTGGACGATATACGCTTTCAGTCTAATCTGTGTGTTCTTTTGCATTGCAGTGCCCAAAACAAGGATTTTGGCTACAGGTGGAGCTTCCCATAATAAAAAAATACTGCAGGTAAGCAGAAAATTAAAGTAGATGATTATATCTGCATTTTTATTTTGGCGTACAGAATCCAAGTCAATGTAACTGTGTGGGAAGGTGTGGATATGGGATTGTGAAACTGCTTCAGGTCATTAGGATTTTTCCTCAGGTTTATTGTGGAGACCAATGCTAACTTTGTATTGAACTTCAAATTTATTTTATATATGTGTGTATATATATGTTTACACTTCACTAATTTTATGGATGTGTATCTGAAACACTGGTGATTTCCAGCTCTTGTTGCTTATGTCAAATCAATTAGCAAAGAAACCAAGAAGAGACTTGATAAGATACCTGAGATGTTTATAGTTTTTGTCATTAAAGTCAGCACTGGACTTCAGACTGAAACTGGAGAGGGATTACCCTAGTTCTGGACACTCAAACAATTAAATCCACCGAAGAAGAACCATTCTAAACCCTGTCCCTGGTGTTTTTGAACATGTATTTCTGATTGGCATTGTGTCATGTATCAGTAGAGCTCCTTTTCTTCTGTGTAGTCTCTCCTCTCCATCTTCCTCACCTGCTGCTGTTGCTGCACAGCTAACACTGGTTAAGATCCTTTGTCCCAAGAATATCCTGGGTTTACTCCACTGAGTGCATCAACAAGCTTCTCTTTGGCTAGAGGCTCAGTGAGCTTGGGGATGGGCATCTACACCAGTTAGTCAGCACAGGGCGAATTGTGTTCTCTGGATGCCAATCCATTTCCATTAGTAATAGAAACTCTTGAGGCCAGCCTCAGCTACACCCCATATTCTTTGGTGAGCACAGTTATACAAAGTGAATGTGATCTGTTCTACAAAACATGAGTTGGAATCAATGGAGATTGAAAAGCAAAGACCTTGCTTTCTCCTAAGTCATCTAAAATGTGTGTTTGTAGAGCCATGGGATGTAGAGCTCATTGGGACACAAAGGACAGATTTGGAATGTTTTGTTTGTAGATGTCATTTCATCTGCTTTGGTTATTTTGCTCAAGAAGCAGATGTTGGAAAATTAACTGGTATGTTAATGGCTTAAAATATTGGTCCCCACAGAAATAGTTCTACTATTTCTTAACGTACTAAGAGTATGTTAAGAAAGGGATTGAATTAATAGATATTTTCTTTTAAAGCATTATTTAGATACTAGGAGGGTCTCCTTGCTGTGGAATGAAGGCTGAGAACAGAATGTTTTTGTAACCTGTAATTTAAAATAGCTGAAAATTTGTGGTCATGAGAGTGATTCCTGAGGTGCTTGCTCTTCAAATGTAGTAATAGAGCTGCTTTTAAAACTCATTAGAAGTGTCTTAAAATAATATGATCAATACAGTTTCGTCCACTTAATTCAATCACTGGTTAATTGGATCCTCCTTTTTAATTTAATCAAAACCTCAGAAACCATATCAGTTGCATGAGGAATAACGGCTTCCACCCTTATCATGGTCAATTTTGGATAATTTGTTCCAGGGTTACAAAAGAGTATCATTTAATTAATCAACATTCAGTAACTCCTGTATTTTACATAGCAAAAAAGGCAACTTAGGAAAATGTGCTTAAAAAAGAAATATACAGCTATAGCAGAGCAGTTTTCTCCACTGTTCTGGGAAGCTTTTTATAACATATGTGGGCCTGATTAATGACCACATGAAACATAGTGAAATATTTGTAACAGTAAAATCTTTAACAGTTTCTTTGAAAATTACCTGTGAGAGAGATCATGGTTTCAGGTAATGTACTGAGTATATGAACTTTTATTAATTTTAATTTCATGATCATGTCACACAAAAGGTAGTTATTATTTGTACGATTACAGTGCTTATTAGCATTACTGAATAGAGCTGCATTCTGTAAGACTCCAGAGAGGTGCAACACAAAAGACCTCTGTTGTTCAAGGGAATTTAAAATTCAAGCATAAGGCAAGGAATACCTATCTGAGATGAAGAGACGAACAAACAGATGGGGAATGTGGTGAAACCATACAGGACAGGATGGATATTTGAACCTAGCACTCTGTGACCTAATTTCCAGAGGGCTTTTTAATGGATACGGTGGTTAATTTTCCATTTGTCCCCTAACAGTGAAGCTCACTGTTTGCTCAGTTCTTGCTTACTAACAAAAGTTAGGCAATACTGACACTGCAGTATTAATAGAAGAGAGCATAAAAAGTGTGTAAGACAAGGCTTTTATTGGATTCTAATTAGCAACTAAATGGCTTTTGTTTCAAATAACCCAAATTTGTGATTATCTAAGATTTTTATTTGCAGATATCTCTCAAACTTTCAGAGAAAGAGACAAAATCCTTTAAAAATGTTGCATATCTTTTTTAGTGTAGCATGTGAATTGAATTCCTTAGTCATCTTTTATGGAGCCATGGGGCCCATGATGAATCCTGGGCTCCATCTTGAGGGATATCACACCACATGTGCAGGACAGCAGGGGGATCAGGCCTAGCCAGTATTTTGGGGTGTAGGAGCAGAGTCCTCATGAGCAGCAGCTGATGGAGCTGGGATTGTTTAGTCTGGAGAAGAGGAGGCTGAGGGGTGACCTTACTGCACTCTACAACTGACTAAAGGGAGGTTATGGTGGGGTGGGAGCTGGCCTTCTCCCATGTAACTGCCAATAGGACTATGGGGAATGGCCTCAATTTGTAGCAGGGGAGATTCAGGTTGGATGTTAGGAAATACTTCTCTGACAGAGTGGTCAGGTACTGGACTGGGCTGCAGTGGGAGGTGGTAGAGTCATGAACCCTGTAGATGTTCAAGAAACATTCTGACATTGTATTGGGAGGCATGGTTTAGTGGGAACTATTGGTGATAGGTAGATGATTGGAATGGGTGATCTTAGAGATCTTTTCCAACCTCAGTAATTCTGTGATTCTATTCTATGACCAGAGGGGTTGTGAATCCCTGGATGGGGTTTCGCTGGTCACAAATCTGATTGATTTGTGTTTATGGACACTGTGACCTTATTTTAAATTCTTATATACTGATGTAAATCAGGTGATACACTTTGGAAAAAGTAATACAATATATTGCAATTTAAATCTGAATTTCTGCATGATTCTTGTGTGGCTTGAGGGACACCTACAATCCTTGGGGAGATTAAACCAAAATATCTGTTTAATTTGGAAGGAATAAGTTGAGAATATTTTCAGTAAAGCGTTCTTGAATATTCTGTGTCCCTGTCCAAATTTGTCTTTGTTTTCCCTCCACAGAATCTATTTTCTTAAAACTACATTGTTAGTAAGAGTGCATACACTCAGTAAATGCGAGATGCTGGTGTAGATTTCAGGTGCAGTGGGTGGAATGGTGCATGGTGGAATAACTTAGTATCTGTCAGATATCAAAACAGATTCTTTTCCTGTGTTATTTTCTTTGTACTGCCAAACCAAGCTGAGAACACACAGCCTTGCTTTGTCTTCATAGCTAAGGATTACTCAAATGCAGGAAAACTCCTGGTATTTGTAAAGCCTGTGAGATCAGGTCAAACTTCATTCTTCTGCTAACCCTAATATAATGGGAGTGCTGGAAGCAAAGACAACTGGTTTAGCAAACTGTAGCTTTTATGCTATCAAAGTTGAGAACTGGGGAGCCATGGCTGGTTCCTCTCTCCTTCCTTTCTGCATGAGTCAGCCATACAAGTGATGGAGGAAAAAAGGCATCAGTTGCAGGTTTCCAAATGGGTATCCCTGATGCAGGCCTTTAGCATGGGCAGACTGTGTGGGCTCATGAGGGAGATGATGCTTGAGATTAGAATCCTCTAGAAAAGAGATCTGAGGAGAAGTGGGACTTAATCTCCTGGTTGTAGTTGCATCTCTAGGTCAGATTTACCAATACTCCATTGTGTCACAAGTTCAGGAGACTCCGTGTTGCCTCTGGTACTTTTTTCCATGGATACCCAAACGCTCTGCTGGAGTGTATATTATCTGTCTGTTTTCCTGTGCAGTAATAGGGATTGCTTATCCTTTGTATTTCATGAACGTGCATAACTGATGCTCTGATACTTCCCAGGTCCTGTCTGATGTGTTCAATGCTCCAGTGTACACTATTGATACCGCCAACTCTGCCTGTTTAGGAAGTGCTTACAGAGCGATTCATGGTAAGACTGTGAGGAGATACTTCTGAGTGGTCTAGATGTTTAATTTCAGTTGGTTGATACTCGGGATTAATGCTATTGAAAATGAGAGGGGAATAAAACTGGATGAATCTGACTGGAAAGTTACTGAGGTCAAAGCAAGGGGGAAGTTGCTTTAATACTCTTGGATCAAGCTGCTTCTCAACCAGGGGATAAGGCCTGGAAGCTGCTGAGATTGGCAGGTTAGAGTCTAGGAGCTTTATGTGTTGAGTTGCCATCTGAGTGGCTGAAGTGGTCTTACAAACTAAAGATCCATCCTAGCAAAGAGGTTCCAAGACAACAGAGACAACAAGTCCAGGAATACTGCTGGCTGAGTAAATGTTTCTAAACCTTATATATCTTCCAGCTTTTAAATGTCAAGACATACAGTATACAAGCATGCTGGGCTTCACACTCGAGCTGTGTGCACTGTCTTGTAAAAGCATAAATTCTGGGATGCTTTTAGGTTACCCAGTCATTCCGTTCATTGTACCGTATCACTCAGTGTGACGCAACAGGCCAAGACCCAGATTTAAAGTGTTAATGAACTTGGATTTATTAATGTGTGCAGTGCTATGTTTAGGTTAGGCCCTCAGCCATTTAAGAGTTCAATCTCAGACAGGACATTCTAATAAAGGATTTTTTTAAAGTAAGTTTCTAATACATTATTGCTAAACAAGTGAAGGAGTGGGGATCAAATTCTGAAGTCATTGTTTAGGCCAACTGTTTTTCTGATTAGAAGCTTTAGGATTTGGCCTTTCCTCATAGAATCACTAAGATTGGAAAAGACCACTGAAATCATCTTGTCCAACCATCAGCCCATCACCACCACCGTGCCCAATAAACCAGAAATGGATAGCTCCTGTAAAGATTCATGTAAGATCCACACCATTGCACATGCATGGAAGAGAAAACATCAGTCATCAGGAAAAATCAGCCAAGTTGTAATTTTAGAAGCAAGTTCTGCTGTCACATTATAGCATCTGAAGACTACACGCTCTCTTGCATTTGAAAGAAGCACAGCCAAAAGTTTGAGTCAGTATGTTTAACACACACAACTTGCTCTCTGTTTTATTTCCAGACAAGTCACGGGGATTCTGTCAGGCAAAGCATGGCAGGGCAGTGTAAGCAGTACAGTAATGTTATCAGTGTGTTTAAGCCATAATGGGACTATTTTTGCACCTTGGAGGCTAAATCTCCAAACTCTGTGCTCAAGCTTTGCCTACTGCTTCAGCAGTCCTCAAAAGCTTTCCAGTCCATAATGCTACAAGCAAACTTTTTGCCCCTGAATACAAGTGGAATGTAGAGCCATCATTATAGTTTTTTTTCAGTGATTTCATATGTATGGAAGATATAAAATCGCTCTGCCAGTTTGGCATGTGGAATCTTGAGGCTTGGTTGACAGAGCATTTGAGGGAGGATTTCAGATGCTGTGCTGCCACAGGGACTCCTGAGCTCAGGTGCTCTGCCAGTCAAGCCCTGGGGGCATGCCTTGTGTGTTTCTAAATGGCAGTTTTGATTGATGTGTTCAGATGACTCACTTTTGGCCAGGGAAAGGAATTTAGTATGAGCAAAGACTTCCTAATATAAATGAAATATTGATGGCAGTGGCTCTTTAATAGCATTAGAGTGTACATCTGGGTACAAGTAAAGGTTTTCCACAGTTCACCTGGGGTACTTAAAGTTGTAACAAGGAACTCCTAAAAGGGTGTGATTCACTTGCAAAGCAACATGCTGTGGTAGTAGGACTCTTGTTATTCTGCTTCCTTATATATCAGTGTGTTTAATGATTTGCAGCATGCTTTCTTGACACTCTTTTCACTTCCTTTTTAGTTTAGTCACATTTTGTCCTTGAATCTCTTGCTTCCACATATTTCTACTGCTGTTTACTATACTGTTGTAACCATAAATAATTACTGATATTGTTGAATAGCATTTCTGCTGCCTGCCTATTCTCCAGGGTATGTATTGAGTGATTGGCAAAAACTCAATCACAGCATCCGCACTTCCCAGGCTGGTGCACTGGAATGTAAGATTTTTTGCCATTTATCCTTCAATCCTGAATGCTGACCTGACTGGGGAAGATCAATATAAGGTATTAATTTGCCAGGGAGTCAAGGCACATCCCTCATCTTGCTTTTTGCATTGATCAGGATTGTGATTCTCGTTGCAGGACTTGTAGCTGAGACAAATGTGCCCTTGGCTGATGTTGTGAAATTAGCACCAGAGCCCAGATTGGCTGTTACACCAACTGCTGGCACTGAGAAGGTGAGCAAGCTTGGGAATTCATTTTTCTTTTCGTTTTCTGTCTGCTTCAAAATGTAGTAGTAAACTAATTTTTCTAGTGAAATGGATTAATCTAAGTAATATTTTGTTGCACAATTCTTAATTCTTTTTGTGAAAGTTGATTTAATTTAGGGAGATGGCAGGTGTAATGATGTAGTGATCTGCATGATCGCCCTCTCTATGTCTGAGAGAATGGCTTTTTCTTTCCTTAACTGGGTGTGATTAGAGAGCAAAAACGACTTCCTAAACAGGTTGAATTTGGATACACATCAGGTTGTAACTGATAGTAATTGACAAAACAGCCTTTACTTGCTTGCAGGCTGCAGTTTTGAGAAAGGCATGGTGATAGTGCTTTCCAGATCTTTAACAGTGGCAGCAATCCTGTGTCTTTTCTTGTACTTCTCAGTTGGAACAGCTGAAAGCATGCCAGCTTGGAGAATTGAGTACTCACAGGTCTTTGGTATTTTGCTCATCCTGAGAATTTCAGCTAATCTGAAGGTGAAACTTGTGCTTTTTTGGGCCACGTACATTAAGCAAGACAAGTGATCACTGTTGCTAATGACACCATTTCTGCCTGTATTCCTGCCCACAAAGGACTTGTCTTGGGCTTTACAGTGCTGCCTCATACCTCTCACTACCGAATGTCAGACACCTTAATTTACAACAGCTTTTGCAACGTAATGTCAGCTAATAAATTTAAAAATGCAACATTGCATAATTCCTGGAGAATATGAGTTTAGAGAAGCAAAGGTGAGTCTACCTCCATCTTCAGCTGTGTATCCAGACAGCCTTACACACATCACTGCTTGTGATGTTTGGTTATGCCCTAACTACAGGCAGCAAGGTTTTAAAGCTTTTATTTAAACTGGGAAATTAATGATCTGCCAAAACTACTAACTCCCAGCTACATATGTACTGGAGCACCAAATATCATCGTGAGTAATAATAGAAATGATCATGCTGCATTGTGCCTGCCAGCATATTATTTAATTATTAACTGAGATGGAGGAGCTCAGTAATCGAATAGAAGTCCCCTTCAGAAATATTAAGACATTGAATAATTTAAACTTGATTGATCTGATCTCATTTACTCAACTTTCCCCCCTCATTCTGAAAGATAATTAACAGCAATGGCCTGTGTCGCATCTGTTGCAGCTGGAGGCTCCTGTGGGGGCTTCAGGAGGAGCTCCCTGGTGTCTGATCCAGCCTCACGTAGCTGCCTCATACCCCCAAAATGCTCACTGCTGGAGAGCTGACAGGCTGCTTTGGTGGAGGTGCAGAGTGCTCTGAGACCTGCTGGTGACCCCCAGTGCTGCTTCAGCTATAAAGCTCAAGGGCAGGGGATACAGCTGTCATTCACAGAGGACTTGCAAGAGCAGCAAGCACCTTGTGCCCCTGCAGGGGCCAGCAAGCCTAGCTGGAAAAAACAGTGGGGAATTCATTTGCCTCTTCCTATTTTACTGTCTGCATAAAACGGCCTGGAAGCTAAAAGAGTTAATTATCTCCCTCTCGATACTTTTCTTCTCCTTTTCCACTTGGTTAGACCTGGCTCTCATAGCACATCTTTTTATTGGTTTTAAATGATGTACAGCAGAGAATTATTGCCCCAGTAGATAGAAGTGAATGATAGAGAAGGCAGCGGCTGAACAGCATGCGAAGGAATAACTGTTCCTGTGCTTCAGCTTAGCTTGCCAGCTTCATTCCATTAAGAGCTGCTTCTTGCAATTACGTATTCCACACAATTTTTTTTCTTCCTGTCTTATAATTTTGCAGTTGATGGTGGATTCCCTGGCTAGTTTCATGGCTGTGAAACTGCAGAGAGCCAGAGGGGCCTGTCAGTAATACAGTGTGTTAGCACGAACAGTGCAGTAAAAATTCATAATGTGATGAGTCAGTTTGATTCTGTTTCTTACAGAGCTGCAGCTCCCTGTCCGTCCAATTTCATTCTGGTGAGTTTAGAGGCTTTCACCTAAATGACGGTTCTTTTTATAAACTTCAAAGTCATCCTGAGGTTAGGTTCTGTCTCACTGAGGAGCTCTTCTGAAAGAATCTGGCTAACCAATATGAAATTGCCTGGACCACTTCCCTACATTTTCTGGACAGCTACAGTTAAATCTTGGCAGAGTGGAGAAAAAACAGGTCATAACACAACAATCTGGTCTAGTTTTGTCCTTTCTTCTTGGTGTAGATTGGAGGCAACATGTGCTACACCCTTAGAAGGAGGAAAACCTCCTATAGACAGAGGTCAGATGCAACATTTTGATGTAGCCTCCTCTTTGATGCCAAGGCCTGGGCACACAGCAGAACTTTCCAGGAACACAACTTGCAAGAAATGTTTCTTCGATTGCCAAATGATTATTTGTGATAATGAGTTTGATTTCATAAAGGGAGGGCAGGGCACAAAAAACAATCCTTCAGGTTCAATTAAGCTGACAGCCAGGTAAAATGAAGTCACAAGATGGGAAATGTAGAGCTTGTGATGTGTGATGAGTTAGTAGTTTGAGGAAACTGAAGTCCTGTAAGTTGCAAGTTGTGTGGCAAAAATGTGACTCTGTTATAGCAGACCATCCTGCCTACAAATGACCGTCTGAAAGAGAACAAATCCCTTTCTGTGGCTGACACTTCAGCTGAACGTGATTTCACAGTATGTTTGTAGCCTATGGAAGCTCCTGAACCCTGAGCTTATTTATAATTACGTAGACACCCACATGGATCAGAAGGTCTTCTGGTGGTAACCGCTATGGTGATAACCGTTGGTCATGACTCAAGCAGACTAGTTGAAGTTACTCATCTGTGGGTTAAACTGATGAATTTCTTTTTCTTTTTTTCATATTTTCAGAATAACAAAAGCTAAAGTCTTCTAACCTCTCTGGTGTCTTTTCATCCCCCCAAGGAAAAAGATTAATCAGAAATACTAAGCATGACAGAAATGACCAGGAGATTATAGAGCAGTAAATATATGCTAACAGACAGAAAGGATCCATTATTATGGCATTAGAATTCAGCTCTATTCTAGCAATCTGTTAAACGGAGATGGTTGGCTTGTTGTTTAATTAAGCAAAAAAGCAGGAGAGGGAACACGATTATGTGGGGTTGGTCACTTGTGTTTATACAAAACATATACCTATAACATAGTGTTAGATTTCTTGTAACACTTTATATTGTAGGGTTTTGAAGGGAGAAGGCATGACACGATTCACTACCTCTGGATATATAATCTTTGATTGCCCTCTGTTGAGGGCACTGAGGGACATAGATCAGTGGGCATGGTGGGGATGGGCTGATGGTTGGACTAGATGATCTTAGAGGTCTTTCCCTTAACAGTTCTATGATTCTATGGTTCTATTGACCCTATTGAGAAGTATCAATTCTGCATTCATTCGAGAAGGAAAAATGTGGGCCTAACAGGTTTTCTTGACTTTGGAGATGTGCTTTGTAAGCATGTGGGTTTATAGAGGCGACCCTGTTACCCAGGAAAGTTACAGCGACCTATTTATTGATTTAAAGTAATGATATTTTTGTTGAATTAGATATTTGGGGGTGGGATGTTTTCTGAAATTGGTTTAAGTTGCTAATTTAGTGCAATGCAGATCATAATAATACAAGTATGGAAATATGATAATAGGTATTGATGAAAGTTTGATTGAAGTGACTTGGGTAACCGATAAGTTTCAGCCTATTAAAATGTTTCAGATATGCTTACAGAATGAATATGTGAAAGAAATGAAGGGACAATTGGGGTATGGTTCCTTGCAGTCGTCTTCAGGGTATTTCTGGACACTGCCATGTTCTTTCTGCCCTAAACATATCCTTTTTGAGTTAAAAAAGGTGAACTACTGTGATGATTTTATAATAGAATATCTGTATCTCTCAATTTCTTAAGCATATCTCTGAAGTAATTTGAATTTAGTTTAAAGGAAAAAAAAAAGGAACCTGTCTAAAGCAGCAAGTGTTTGCAAGGGACTGATTAATTTTAATCTATGCAGAGTAGATTAAATGTACTTGGGTAGATTAAAATTAGATAATCATCAGCATCATCTTTGTAATTCGTAAATTTTGATTTGCTCCAATCATTGGCTAACACAGCATTGCAGGAAACAGAAGGATCCGTGGGATTGTCACTTGCAGTAATCATTTGTAGCTGGCTTTACTCATAGAGAACAGGGGAGCCAAAGTCCTGTTCTCGTAGGCATAAAGAATAGTATAATAGTATGAAGAAGTGGTAACAGCCCTGTTGAGTTCATAGGCTAGTAGTATGGTGAGATAAAATATGAGGATGACACACTTGATTTAGATTAAAGAGCAAGGTAACATTTATCTGCAGAGTTTTTCCAGGCAAGGCGAGTCAAGTTATTCTCAGTTATAATGTAATCTGTGTCATTTCTTCTTTCTTATTTATCTGTGGGATTGTCGGAGCGTGTCCAAGTTGTCCCAGGAGTGAAGTTCAGCATTTGTAAATGAAGCCATCAGAATACTGCTAATGCTGCAGAGTTGGCTATAGACATAAGCGGGAGAAAAGGCCATAATATAGCAAGGACAATTAAATTATGGACAATAATAAGGTTCATGTTGTGATACATGTAATTACTCCTGCTAAATATCATGGTCTGATATATTAGGTTTGAGGCTATGACAGAGAGGGAATTTATGTTCTTGAGTTTTTATGCATCACTGAGAGTTCTTTATTCCCTTTGGACCTCAATTAGAAAAATAAATCTATATAATTGCCTGAGGAAAAAGGCTCCTGGAATGGCTTAGGAGGAGCTGCTGAGGTTCTGCAGGGGCGATTCAGCTGCAGCAGATGTGGAGAAAGATCTTTCACAAACACAGCTGTGTGTGTTCAGGCCAGGTTCTCCATAAAGCGCTTGGGTTTTCTCTGTGTGTTTCCTGGGAGCTGTGCTGCTTTGGCCCCAGACTTCAGCTGCTGTAAAACTGCTATGAAAAGCGCTGTGTATGAAAGGCGTGAAGCACTGCTGTGCTTACCAGCCATGATGGTGTCACAGCCAAATTCCCTAATGAAGAGGAATTCAAAACTTCGTGTTAGCCCTCTGAACTGTGCTACCCCCAAAAGAACAGAGTACAAGCAGTGGTCTTGAATTTTTGTTGTTGTGGTTTGTTTGCATTGTTTTCAGGTGGTACAAAACGCAGCATTCATTTACACTAATGGCTGGGAAGGTTACTGCAAATGCCTGAATTTTGTCAATTAGCGAGCTAAGTGCTTAAGTCCAATAAACAGGAAAAGGGATTGTTATCAGTAAACGTGGCTGTTCATTTATTTTGACACATTTTAATTTAGTGTGATGTATTAACAATAATACTTCCCAGCCTTCTAGTGAATGTGCTGTTGTGTATTCTGTAAGAGCACTGCTGGGTAAGTAATAAGGAGCCGCCTTTCTCAGGAGCTGAGCACACTTACCAATGCAGCTCTGCTGTGCTGAATCTTTGTTGAGAAGTGCTTAGGGTTTTTCAGATTTACAGAATAGCAAAGTAAGAAATAGCGAAGCTTGATTATAAATGCTTCAGTGAATAAAAGAGCCATTTTTGTTTGACATACCGATAGTCCCAGCATAGTGGTGGTTGCCTGCTTGGTATTTTGTTTACTCTGATGTGCATATTTAGCAGAAATGGGAGCGAGAATATTCTTTGGGAACATGGAAAGAATATGTGTATGCACTTCACTGAACACCCAAGGCCCCCATGTAGTCAGTTAGAAATGGTATGCTGAGCCATGTGGCACTTAATAATAGTAGTGATTTTTATTTGCTAACTCAGTAATCTGTGTGAGTCTCCATGGACTTTGGTATCACTGCTCTGTAGAGAAGAGGAGCTGGGGCATGGATAAGTTTGTCGGGATTGTTCAGTCTGGAGAAGAGGAGGCTCAGGGGAAAGCTTCTCACTCTGCATGACTGCCTGAAAGGAGATTATAGCAAGGTGGGGGGTAGGCTTCTCCTCCCAGGTAACAGTGATAGGACGTGAGGGAATGGCCTCAAGTTGTGTCAGGAGGCATTCAGGTTGAATTTTAGGAAAAACTTCTCAGAAAGAGTGGTGCTGCAGTGGCACAGGCTGCCCAGGGAGGTGGTGGAGTCACCGTCCCTTGAACCACAGAGATGTGGCACTGAGGGATGTGGTCTGTGGGCATGGTGGGGGTGAGTTGAGGTTGGACTGAATGGTCTTAGAGATCTTTTCCAACCTTAACGATTCTGTGGTTCTATGTTAAATGTCTTCCCAAGATCATGGAGTTAGTGTGATACAGAGTATCACTGAGTAGGTTTCTGTTTCTGTGTGACAGGTGTAAGACTGTTAATCACTGCAAAATTGATTGAGAACAGCGTCCTGATGAGGCCTTGGCTAGTGAACAGTGTCTGTTGCTGCTTAGTGTAGATGTTTCTTATCTTCCCATTGATATGCTTAATCTGTTGAAGAAATGTACTTCAACTGCTGCAACATCTTGTTGGTGAAAGGGAGGAGTCAATCAGAACAGGTTTGTTCTGCAGGATGTACCCATAAGTCACTCACCTGCTACAGGGGAAGTGGGAACAAAGCATTAAGTCCAGATTTTGCTGTTCAGACTGAAGCTTTCCTTTTGGAAGGGGGAAACAAGAACTGAATGTTTCACCATCACCTGAAGCACAAGAACAAAGCATGTTAATTCTTTATTCCCTAGATAAGAAAATTGTGCAAACACTTGGTGGATTTTTCTTCTAACCAAGAAAATATTGGCAATATTGGTGGTAGGTGGACATTCGGACTAGATGATTGTAGAGGTCTTCTCCAACCTTAATGATTCTATGATTCTGAAATGACAGGTACAGATACTGAGGCCACTTGAGGACTATACATAAAATGCACAAGAACAGCATCTCCTCTTCCTGCATTTGCACTTGAAACATTTCCCTCCTGATTTTTTTTTTTTCATACATACACAGTTGTTGGCTGTGGCTCTTATCTGGAAAAGGAGAAAATGCATTTAAATGCTGGATCTCCCTTATTGATGAAAGCCGTAATTCAGTTTACTGGATATGATTCATTATGGCTTTATAACCTCACTGAACCTGGAGCCAGGAGCGAGACTGCCCTTATTATGAATAACATCAGTGCAGGGGGCTTGTAGACTAGACTTGGCGGCCCATAGGATTCATTGCAGCAGGGATATGACCTTATGGCATCCTCCTAAGGACTGCTCGAGGCTGTACTAGCTCCACACTGGCTCCTGGCTGTCCCCTCTTTGTGCTAGTGCCAACAAATGAGTGAAGCTATCCTGGCATGGCATCAATTTCTTATTTTATTGGATGAACAATTAAAATTAGACGTAGGGGTAAGGAGGAAGGTGTATCTCCCAGATCTGGAAGAGGTACAGTTTTAGATTGCAGCCTGCAGTACGGCTAGACTTCATTTGGGATTTCTTCTATGTAAGCTGGTCACATACAAAGTAGTTCATCTAAGATATGTCCTGTGATGAATTTGAAACAGAAGAAAAAAAGGAAGAAAAAAGAGTAATGTAGTGAATGTAGCAAATTCCAGCATGGATCTTGCCCATGTCCAGAAGCATAGGGCATGTTTCAGTTTGGAGTTTTGAGTACATTTCAATCTTGATTCTGCTTTTCATGGCTGTAACAATTGATCTAAAAATCCCTGGTGGATTCTAGATAAGGAAATAGGAAAAAGCTGCTCAGATGCTCCATGTTGTTGTGGAAATAAACTGAGTCTTTGTTTGTCCCTGGGAATACAGTGTGAGGAGCCAGGGCATGGAGCACATCATAGGTGGGAAGGATTATGGGGTAGAAAAGTGCAAGGGAGATAAGCTAAAGGAGATATGGGCTTATGAGAGGCATGGGAAGTGTATTTTAGAATGCCCTGGTCTGTTATTGGCCTTTCTGACAGTGGCATTGCACTGTGGTAGGGGCTCATCAGCAAGGCAGAGGAGGAGGGAACAGAGGCAGTGATCCGTCCTGAGGTAGCAGAGGGAGGCAAGGACAGGAGTTCTGCCTGGGTGGTTAGGACTGCTATTACTGAGGGGGCATGGCTGACTTGGAGAGGTGACTTTAGCAGAGCTGCTTCCTCTGGAAGCAATGACTTGTGCTTATAGCAAGAATACAATCACAGTAAGAACAACTTGTGTGTGTCATAAAATTAGGCTGTAAAGGAGATGGTGAAAAAGGCAGTGACATTTGAAGGTGGAAGATACTGCAGCATTTCTTGAGCAAATTGGAAAAGAAACCTCAAACCTGCAGTTGCCTGTGACAATGCTACTTTTTCAGCTCTGAAGATATTTTTAACTGCAGCGTGATTTAAAAATCTAATTTTTCAATCTAGACATTTGTTTCTTTTTTCCCTTTTAGCTCTATCGTCCACTCTTGAAAAGATATGCGGAGCTTGAACAGAAGGTGATCTACAACCCAACCTCCTCTTGTCACACAAAATAACAAGCAAACAAAATTTATGAGTTGGCTGCAGAGTGGACTCCCAAAGAGATCAGAAGAGATTTGCTCAGAATTTAGTGGAGTTCTTTAAATCACTTTGTTCCTCTTTGTAGACAAATCATTGTTAAATGGCTGAGTTTCAGTATGTTGATGGAAAAAGTTGCACTGTGATTGAAAACCTAATTAAAAAAAAAATCATTGTTCTGTGTGTTTGTGACTTCAGGTTTTTTCCATACTTTTCACATGGTACTTGCTGATTAGGAATATCTGGATGAGCGCATGAAGTCCGTTGTATATGAGCTTTGATTCCACATGTTCAGTGCTGTGGGCTCTCTACATGCCCACCCAGTACAGTATCTTCATTCCATGACCTCTTTTCCTAGTGTATTTCGAAATTATCTTTCTGCACATCCATAATTTATCTCCTCTTTGCTTACATAACACCAACAGAAAGCATGAGCATATTCATGTCCGTCTGATGGAAGTCTTTGAACATTCACTGGGATCCTCACAGAAGGGAAATTCTTGTTTCATGATGCTATGGAAAATCTGCTGTGGGATAAAGCATGATGTTGGATTTTATAAATCGTGGAAATTGCAAAGGCAATACATTGAATTTACCCTGTGAGATGCAGGTCTGGTTGCTCAGTGTTTTATCTGATGTTAGCTTTGAAAAGATGAAAATAAGGGTCAAATGTGGAAAGTTTTTACATGTTTTCACATTTTCATTCAGTTTCATAAAGAGTCCGTTCCATCTGCATGCTTGTTTGGGGTTATGCTGCTTTCTTTTCCTCCTTCAGGAGTCATGGCCATAAAGTTGTTTGTTTCATGCTGAGTGTGAGTGCAGAAATAGGACTCTCTTCCTAATAGGGCATGAAGGTCACTGTTTTTCTTTATACCACCAATATATCATTTCTTTCTTGGGGATGCTGAGCAGAACTGGTGGCTGTCTTGTCCTGATGCTACTCCTCAGTCCTAAGGAAAGTCCTAGAAAAAAATACAGCCCCAGACACCTTCCTGCAGGGATGTATGGAAGTCACAGAATTTAAGTGAAAAACCTGCATCAGCCTGTGCAAGTGGGAACAGCTTATGGCACTATTTTACAGTGCCAGTATTTTTCCCTTAGGATAAAATTTCTTCTGTGAATAAAGTGTGTTAATGAAAGACTTTCTGAAGCCTTTCTTCAGTTCTTGTGGAAGTTGTAGTGTGCTTTGGGAATACATCAGGGTGTTGTAGGGAGTAGAGGATCTGTTGTGGAGCACTGTGAGGTGTTGGAACAGGCTGACCAGCGAGGTGGTGGAGTCACCATCCCTGGAGGGTAAATGTAGCACTGAGTGACGTGGTTTAATGGTGGTGGTGGGGTGACAGTTGAACTTAGTGCTCTTAGTGGTCTTTCCAACCTTTATGATTCTATGACCTGAGAATTGGGCTGTGAGAAGTGGGCTGCTGGAGGCAGGCTGACTCAGGCTCCTGCTCTTCACGTTACAGCAGTTCAGGAGTGCTCTGTGTCCCTGCTGCATTGCTGCAGTGAGTGGTACCTCCTGGCAATGATTCGCCCCGCATGTGGTGGACGGTGGGCACATTCTTTCTTTGCTCCCCTTTCTATTGAAGCGCCTCATTGTGAGCACTAATGGTGCCATTCCTGTTCATGACTCAGTAATTCTAGCTTCTTTTGATATTGGCAAGATTACTCAGCAAGGTGAAGAATTACCTTTCGAGTTTCTGAAGCGAGTTTCTTTTAAGCAATTCCTTTAAGAGGTGGCATTGTAAATACACATCTCTTTTATGTGCTTATTATTTCTGGGTCCTAAGGTACAGTGCTAAAGCATATAACACTTCTCACAGGCGTCCACCTTCAGCAGTTGCTTTGTCATTGAGCAAAGCTGTAGATAGGTTATGAGAAACGTGTTAATGTGAGTTAAGCAATGCCTACTGGTTTGTCATCAGTAGTCATTAACCATGCCTGGTGACCAGTTTGTCATCAGGGTTAAACCTGAGAGTGAAAAGGTTCAGAGATGTTTGCTCAGTTTTGACAACAGTTTCTTCAGTTGGCTCACTGGAGTGAGAAGACTGATACCTCATGTGGCACTGTGGCTTTGCCCTTGAATTGGGACATTCAGCTCGACTCCCAGTTAGTTGAAGAAACTTAAGGCTCATGTTCCCCATCACAGGACTGTGAGGCACAGGGGCTTTTTTTTAAGGATTGTTTTTTATAGATTATTGGCTCTTGACAGCGTTGTTAATGGTGTACAGTCCATGTGGTTTAGCAGTTCTCTGGGCCTGAGCTCTTTGTGTTCAAGGCTGCATTGCATAGTGGCCACATGTGTCCATTTCCTGACATGTTAAGTCATGTTGGGCTGGGATGGGGCTGTCAGATGTGTCCCATGTTAACATTAACTGCTGTTTCCTCACGGTAGCTGATGCACTCTCTGCTTACTGCAGGAGTCCCTTGAAGAGATGCAGATACCAGACCCTGAAAGGCCAGGAGCTGAGCACCACTGAGTTATAGTATTGTTGTGGTGATGGGTTTATTAGGGCTGGCCTCTGAGGAATGTTGTCTGGAGTATGAGAATTTATAGACAAGCTCTTTTTTTCCCTGGCTCACCAAAGTTGCACATGTTCACTGACTAGTGTCAGACAGAATAAGGCTCAATAAATCTCCCTCTAGAAAAGTCTTTTGAGAAGATGCTGCTATAAGAGTTCTACCACTCTTTTCTTTTTGTAATATCTAAGGATGCCCGTTAGCCTGCCAAGGAACTGTGTGCACATCTCTTTAAAGAAGACCCCAATGATGGAAGGCTCTGGTGTGCTTTGGTTTCCAAAAGTATTTTTTCCCGAAGTGTTTTTGGGTTGTTTTGCTTTGTTTTGCTGGTTTGTCTAGCGATGTTGTTCTGGCTGTTTGGAGTAAAGACGTTACGGTGCTAATTAAAATCCTAGCTAACAAATCTGAAGGCAAGCCAATATCCTCTACCTCCACTAGATAAAGGTTGATTCCCTCTTTCCTCATTAGGACCTTGCTGTACTCCAAGTCTAGCAGCAAAGTGTCCCCACTTTGTTCAGAGGAAAGGTCATTTTCTGTATTTGAAGACCTGCTGAGCTATTCCCAGTCTGAACCAGTACTGGAACCTGTATGGAAAATTGATCTTGTCTCCTGGAAAAAAAAAAAACTTGATTGTTACGAGGAAATTGTTCACTGCTGAACTGATGCACAGCTCCCATCTTACACGAGCAAAGCCACTTGAGGTGGCATATGAGTCATGGAACTATGTGGCAAAACCCAGGCAGCATCCTTAGCTCATGGCCCCATGCCCTCGCCAGTCAGTCAGTTGCACAGACTCACCAATGAGCTCTTGGTGTTCCAGGACCCAAAGACAAACAGTTTTCTTTGCAGCCTGAAGTCTTTAAAGTCTTTTGTGTTACAGCGGGGAACAATCAGGAAAAGATGTTTGTTTTTCCTTATGGGATCAGTCTGAGGGAGCTGGAGCTCTGAGTGAATAAGTAATGTACTGAAAAAAGTCCACGCTCTGACAGTGCTTTAATAAGTAATTGAACTGAACACCACGGTGTGTGATCCCAGTGGGACCTTTTTTGTTGTTTTTTTCAGCTTTCTTTTCCTTTGGAGTTGTGGCTGCCACTACAGATCACAGCAGCACAGTGAATGTATCTAAAGTTGCAAAAAGCCAATGCAAAATTTGTTCTGTTCGTATTTCCATTACTGTCATCCCCAGCCTTCTGTATTCAAGTTAGCAGGTGGGGAAAGAAAAGCATAATTGCTATAGAGAACTACAAATTTTGATTTTTCCTTATCTCAGCCACTGACATTTTTTTCATCTAGCCATTTGGATTTGGATTTTGTTGAGATCTTTGGGTTGAAATTGGCCGGCAGTTAACAGTATGACCGAGGATGATTCACAGTTGTGTAGCCATTCCCTCAGCTACCAGGGGATCACTGTATCACTGTCCCATCTGGGATGTTTCCTTAGGATCTTCACTAGAGGAGATTGTAGTCCTGATCCTACATAGCTGGACATTTTTGTACAGTTCACGTATGAAACATAAAACACATGCACATATAAACCTCCGCCAAAGAATCTGATCTTGTTATTGCTTTATGTTCCTTTTGTGCAGGTTTGTGCAATTAAAACGTGATGTATCAGGCAGAAAGAATTTGGGATTAAATACTTAGGCAACCAGCTTTTTTCTGAGCATGGCTCTGAAGGGTGCGAATATGACATTTTGACACCTTTAACATCTTTGACATCTTTAACAATTTAACGTGGATGTTCAGCACAGCTCCAGCCCCTGCTCACTCTGTGCTTTGATTACAGCTCAGATCCAGGCTCTTTGGTTAGCCTGGTCAAGTGGCTTAGCTTTCAGCCTTCAAAGCTTGCACTATGAGAATGTAAGATTTTTACAACTTTTTCTCTGCCACTCTTCTTCTTATCTTGGAAGCGGGTACGGCCTTTTCTTTCACAAAGTTCACCTGGTTGGCTGTTTCCACTTCTGTGGGATGCCAAGAACTTCCCATACACGATACTTAAAGAGTGAGTGTATCTCCTGCTGAAATTTGACCCCAAGACTTTTCATTTGTTTGTCCTTTCCCCTGTTGCTTCTTCGAGTTGGTTTTGACAAACAGAAGGATACTGCTGCGGTGATCACAGCCCCCTGAGGGTGTCTTGGCCATTGTGGGAACACAGTGATTTCCAAAGTGTTCTTGAAGAACAGAACCTAAAGAGTAAGGATGAAGGAGCACTTTTGGTTGCACATGGATTCTGCTGTGATCTCTCGTTTCAGGTTTTGACTAGGTTTCCTCATCTCTTGATGCTTCGCCCTGCCCATTAGAACAACTGAGGGTAATGACTGCATATGCTTTTCTTGCTCTAAGACCTTTCTTTGGATGGCAGGTATTTTTTCTATTTTTCTTTGTTTAGGTGCTGCTATCAACTCTGCTTTTATTGAGTACGCTGTGTCTTAGTACTCTGCAATGTACCCATCTGGTTATCCTTTCTTTTACTCAGTATCCAATCAATTAAGTCCTTCGTTACCTTCAGTGTGGGATTCATTCGACCAGTGTAGAAATCTGTCTCCTACGATACGAACTAAGGATCACAAAGAAAAGGAGTTCTTGGCTGCTGTTCATCTTATCGTGTGGCAGTTGTCTACAACAGAGCAGGTGAGTTATCTCCTGAGTGAGCTTTCTTCCTGCTGAGTAGAAGGGCAATTGTACAGAGAGGAGAACAGAAAAAGTCAATTTTTCACATTGTGCCAAAACTCTCAAAGACTTCATTGAAACCTGATTTCAACTTTGGAGGGAAGAGTTGTCCCCAGTGGCCATTGCACAACTAGAAATTTTTCTTGTTCCAGCACAGCTCTGTTTTTTCTATCAAATCCATGTGATTGACCTCTCCTGCTCCCTTCAGATAGGACTCCTCATGCACCTCCATGGAGATATCCAGAAGACGTGGGTCAGGAGCTTTGTTGTATTTCTGCTTTTAGTCCTTTTGTTGCATGCCCTTGCTTGTGTTTATTCCTTCAGGCTGGACTCTTTCAGGCATTTGTATTATGCATCTAAGCTCAGTTCTCTGCTATAGAGAAATGCAGTTCCCTTAAGACTTAGGCAAGCATTGCACAAGAAAACAAAGACCTGTTCAACGTGCTGTTGGGAGACAATATTTACTCTCTGACTGACATGTGTGCACTCCCTCATGAAACCTCAGTTCTGTTGCAGTACTGATGTATCGGAAGATGGAATTCTCCTTGAAAATAATCTAAACCATGTTGTATAAAAGTAGGGCTTAGAGAAACAGAGCAGAAAACGAGCTATTTTATAGCTGAGGGCTTTTATCTTAATATAAAACACATTAGAGCAAACAAGTGAGAGGTAAAGGATTCTTACACCCTTTGGTGTCACAGCTTATGCCACCTGAGAACATCTCTTCACACTTCTGCCATAGCTTTGTTAGGATGGGACATTCTCCTGTCAATCCTGGTGTTCTGTTAGATTCCTACCCTAGATGACTCAACTTGAGGACACTTGCTTACAGCAGAAATACCCTTTTGATCAAGAAAGGTAACATTAAAAGGCAGTGATACGTTTTCCCCGTTTTCAGTTTCTCAGCAGAATTATTGTGGTACCTGCTGTTGTTTCTTAGAAGAAATCCCTACTCCAGCAGAGGGAAAAAGAAGACTTTGAATGTAGCTAATCCAGCATGCATTTTAGTCATCACAGAATTGTTTGAGTTGGAAGGGACATTTAAAGATCATCTGTCCAGCTCTTCCACAATGTACAGGGACATCTACAACTCAATCAGACAGTTGTGTGAGTGAATAAGCAAATAAACTACATTTCAAGATTTCCCTTATATTATTTTTTTCCTCTGTGTAACTCTTGGCTCAGGAGACATATCCGTGGTGTTTTATTTGATTCCTTCTCACCATATTTGCAGTGTGGAAGACTCTCTCCCCAAGGTCTTTCCACAAAGGCTTGTTTTGCTATTAGCCCAGTGGAACGTAGGTTTTCCACTTTGATCTGTACTGTGTGTGGTTTTGGCATGATTCTTAAATGGACTGATTAAATAACTACTGCTAACAGCTTCCTCTGCCTTCAGGAGTCAGCTTCCATTGTTCAGGGGCTTTCCATAGCAAAAGGGAAGAGATAGCACTGGTGTAAGGGCTTACATTAAAGGCTAGAAGAAATGTCATAAAACTCTTTCCCATTCCTCTTGGTCCAAAAACATTGCAGTAACTCAGTCACTAGATAAGCAGTGTTGGATTGTTCATAGCGTGAGTGTTTTGAGCAAAAGGGATGGATGCCTGTATGCTGATGCTGAGCCAGATTGTCTAGATGAGAAATCACTGAGCTGAGACTGGCTTGGTAATTTACATCTAGTTCTGTGTTTTATATATCAAAGTCTGTGTTTTGCAGTTTACACTCTGAATCTTTAAATGAAGAAATAAATTAAATTTCTCAGATGAATGAGAATGGTGCATTTAAAGGGAGAGGGAGAATACACTGAGACTTGGGAGCTGCTCAGGGAGGAGACCCAATACTCAAGCTCCCCTTTTCTGGCATGAAGCATCTTTTCTTTCTAAAGTGTTCCAGGCCCCCAGGAAATATGGAAACTGCTCCCTCCCTGAGCCTCCTTCAGCCTACTGAAGATGTATTGGGCATTTGGTCAAACCCATCAGGCAGTGGTGGCAGCCAGAATTCCCCATGATGTGCCATCATGCCAAGGCTGGTGTCCAAGAAGCTCCTTAGTTCAGCATGGGGCAGTCTGATGAGGCTGAGACCATAAATATGTCGTGGCCATGGCATGGTCAGTGTTGTCCTTGAACTTCTCTTTATGCCTTTCCAGTGGAGACAGAAACATTGCTTTCTGTGAGGCACTGGTGAGCCCCATCAGGTAGGACATTTGCAAACATCCTCTCTTGTTGTCAAGACAGAATTTAAACTGGTACAGATGAGGAAAGAGGGCTGATAAGTCAGTGAGGGGAATAGAAATGCTGTCCTAGGAGAGGAGACTAAAAGCTTGGCTTTGTTTGCCTAGCAAGTGGAAGCTGAGAAGTGATACCATTGCTCAGTATAAATCCTTCAGGCGGGGGGTAAAGAGCAGGAGAAGAGCTACTCAAGCCAAAGGACAGTGTTGGCACGCAAGCAAATGACACACACTGAATGGGAGTAAATTTAAACAGGAAATTAGGAGGGAGGTGGAGGTGCTGAAGGACCTCCTGTCCCCTGCGTGCGGTGCCAGGAACATCGAGCCACGTACTTGCAGCATGACGTGTGGCAGGGCTGTAGCACCATGTCAGAAATCCTCTGCTCACTGAGAAAGCTGCATTGAGTACTGACCTTGAGAGAAACTGTTGTTTGCCACGTGGCCAGAGCAGAGTTTCACACTTGACCTCTTTTGAATTTCCTTCTTAACTGTGTTTGATTTGTAGGAAGCAACGAGTATGGTAGGGACAAATAAATTGAAAAGTTCCAGCTCTACTTCTTAACACTGGGACACATAATAGCTCGATTTGCTATCAGTTTGCTGGGCTAGTCCTCTACAAGCAAGAGGAATTTGCCCCCCGGCAATTTTTCTTCACTAGAATCCTGCAAAAGGAAGTGAGGTTTAATTAGCATTTTAAAGTGGACAGCCTTGAAGTTAATGATATTCAATAAAGAAAAATTGTTTTAACCTTATTTGCACTTTTCAATTTACTTATTAGAGGCCATCTGTTATATTTTAAGCAAGAGCACTGGGAGCTAAACTCTCAGATTGTCAAACGAGGCTAAGCAGAAGGGAAAGAGCAGGCTGCCTTAAATGAGCAATTAGACTGCTTTCCTTAAATTTCTCATTTTTGTGTCGAAAAGCAAACGGTCACCATTTCAAGCAACAGTTATGTTGCTCTAATGACATCTATTTTTACAGGTACTCATCAGCCCTGGGAAATGTCACTTGTCCTCAGATCTCAGATGAAATTAGAAAAGCCAGAAGTGAGGTGGAGCTGTTGAGAGAGTGAAGGCTAAGAATAAGGATTTCTGTAGGTAAGTCATTAGAAGAAGGAAAACATAGATTGGCATATATTGGTGTGCTGCTGAATTAGTTGACCAACCTAGTAAAAGAAGAAGCATGGAAAGAGCGTGGTGCTCTTTGCTTTTGTCTTCATTAGCAAGGTCTGCTCTCAAGCCTCTTTCTGTCTAAGTAATGTGTGGGGAAAACAAGTCCTACCCATAGTAGAAGAAGATCAGTTTAGAGGCTAGTGAAGCAAAATGGGCATACACAGGTGTGTGGGGCCAGGTGGAAATGTGTGAGTGTGCTGAGGAAGCTGGCTGATGTCATTCTGAGGCTACTCTATCATCTTTGAATGGCTGTGATGACAGTAGAAAGTCCCTATTGACTGGAAAGAGGTAAATGTTACTCTCATCCTCAAATGAAAAGGAGATCCAAGGGAACTGCAGACTGTTCAGCTCCTTCTCTGTCTCCACGAAAGTTACAGAGCAAATCTTCCTGGGAGCCATTTTCGAGGACAAGAAGGAACCACCGAAAATAGGGACCAGGTCTCCATTTACTGTAATGGCAATTTGTGTCCTAAACTTCCCTGGCTTAAGGTTCAGCTGACTGCCAGTGTACCTCCAAGAAAGTGGATGATTTTGCCTTCTTTGTGGGTGGAATAAATGCCTTTGGTAGGACAAAAGCCAAACTTTGCTCTGCATGGTCTCATAAGCCTTACTTAAATTCTGAGTGCACTTAATCCCTCCTGGAAGGATGGGAAATAAAAACAAAATGTCTTCTCCAGGTCCATGTAAAAACCTGTGGGAGCCAGCAGAGCTGGTGCTGTGTGTCTGGATTTGACACTGAACATTCATGTGAGCAAACCTGCTGGATTATTAGATGTCCTGCTGTTCAGCTGAGCAGAGGCTCAAGATCCTGGTCTCTGTGGGATTTGTTAGCAGTGTCTGTAAGATCACCATGCCCAAAATGGAATGGAATAATCCCTTCTGCAAATGAACACAAAATGGGATCAATGCCATGGGTTGATAACCTGTATCACAGCAGCAACACCTTAAATTGCACGAGTGGAAATCCTATGTGTCAGAGGACGTTTGAAGTCTGATTCCACAAATGTTTGCAAATGTAGATCTTAGCTTCACTTCTGTGGTTTGTCACACTGAAGTTAGACTGAAGTTAAACTTCAGTTGGTAAGATCTTGTGGGTTCCAAGTTTGCAAGGAGCTGAACCCACCAGCTCCTGTTAGCTTCAGACTTGCTCTGAAATCACCTGCGTTTCTGTCCTGAGAGTTACAGCAAGAGAAGGGAGGAGAAATGTAAACCACAGTGCACTGATTCACAACAGCACTTGATCATTACAGCAAAACCCAACCAAACCAAGCCTACTATGAAGTACCTGTAGCAGCGAAATCCAGCTGCCAATGATTTTGCAGTACAGAACAGTCTTTGATACCCTTAGTTTGCTGTCAGTGCCAAAGCCAAATTTGTACATAATGAAATAGCTTTTTAAAAACCTGGCTTTTTTTGACTTTCCAAGCCTAAAAATGCTATTTTGTGTCCAGATCTATAGAGGGAAAAAAAAAAACACACAACTTGAGGTGACTTTTGTTTTAAGGCTGTTTTAAATTTATAACAGAGCTGGCTAAAATGCTTTTCATCAAAGTACAAAAGTTTCATGCTGTAATTAATGGCAAGTGATATCTAACGCAATAAAACACCATCATTTCAGTGTTCTTACAAGACTATTTATGACTGGATATTGAAACTGATAATGATTCTGCCATTTGTCCTCATAATTTATTATTCCAAGGAGAGGCAAGTAGTGGTAAGGGTTCATGATCCGTTTTATGGAAAGAGTGCTGAATTCAGCTTTTTATGGATGTAAATGACAATGTTTGGTGCTGGGCAGAAAGTGTGTGTGTGACAGTGAGTGCAGACCCTGTTGAGGGGTCGAGGTGGGGAGCATTAATGGTCCTTCTGAGCCAGGGAAGCCCTTGGCTGTGTGATCACATTGCAGCTAGCTACTGGAACCAGTGCAACTGGCGGTCGTTTCCACAGCAGGGTGCTTTGGAAGACCAGGGTAGGATTTTTCTGAAAACCTCCCACCTGATTTCTGAGCAAGATAATCTCCTGAACTATTGCTTTGGGCAGCCAAAGCTGAATTCACTATAAACAACCCGACCCAAAGCTCGTTGAACAGAATGAAAAGAGTTACTGGCTCTGGCAAGCCTTGTATCAGGCTGAAACAAAAGCTCTCTTCCAGAGGAAACTTCTCTTGGCCTTGCCAAGTGCCAGCCTGCATCCCTCTGGGCACAGCCCATCCCTTTTCATAGAATCATAGAATCACAGAATCATTGAGGTTGGAAAAGACCACTGAGATCATCTAGTCCAACCATCCACCTACCACCAATATTGGCCACTAAATCATGTTCCTCGGTGCCACGTCTTCATGGTTCTGGAACACTTCCAGGGACAGTGACTCCACCACCTCCCTGGGCAGCATTACTACTCCTTCTGAGAAGAAATGTTTCCTAATATCCAACCTGAACCTCCCCTGGCACAACTTGAGGCCGTTACCTCTCATCCTATCTCTGGATGAGGCTGATTTACTGAATGCTTGGGCTCTGATTCACACCTTATTCAGGCTCACAGAAACCTGGAGGAATTTCTGTAAAGTCAACATTGACACAATTAATGGAAAATCTAAGTGAAGTCAGACCCTGGGGTTATTTTCTGGGCTTAGATGGTGCTTCATCCTCCTGGACTCCAGGACTGGGGTGCTGCTACACTACAGCCTTCTGGTTGTTCCCAGGCTGCTGTTCATTTGCTGCAGAATAAGGTGCTGTAGGTAAAGATTTGCATTTCCATCGATAGCCCTAGCTGCAGTCTCATGAGTTCCTTGCTGCTTTGCAAATAGCTTGGAGTGAACCTGCTGCTGCAGAAGCAGAGCAGGATGTGACCCATTATCTTTGCTTTTCAAGTGCTATGGGCCCCTTCTTCAAGCCTCCAACATCCCCCTGTTTATTGTAATCAGCACGTCAATTTATTGGAGGTTATCCGTGTCAGGAGAAGTTATGTTCCCATCGCTACCTGGGGGCCCATCAGCAGATAAAGATGGAGAGCAGTGACTCAGAATGACTTTGAAGCAACACCCAGCAGCAACTGAAGACAAGAACATAACCTTAGCTGACGTTTAATATAACCCGATGCACAAATAAAGCCATTCCACTAAATTATGCATCCTTTTACTCTTGGCTGTTGTTAAAGGAAGGGGACAGGGTGAGTGTTCTCTCTGTGTGTTTCTTCCTTTCCAGCGTCGGGAGCTGAGTGACAGATGCACACTGATGGAGCACAGTGCATTGATTTTTGCTGCTGCAGTACTTTATGCTCAAAGAAATACAGCTTTTAAAACGATGGAGGACCCCTATTCAGAGAAAACAGGTGAGGCAGATGGGTGATTTTCCCTGAATGCCTTAGTTATCTGCTTTGAGTTAAGCAGGTGCTTTGTTGACCGCATTGATGTGAGTACATTCAGCAGCGGGTTTGGGTGGAAGTAAGCAATGGTTAAACAGCCATGGAGAAAAAGAGGAATGGGGATATTTAGAAAAAACCTGCTTCTGATTCGCTGTTTGTTTGAAACCAAGAAATAATGCGTTCACTTTTTTTCCCTAATGGCACGAACACAGACATGTGCCATTGCTTGTTCACTTTTCTCTTTTCTACTCAATTCAGTTAATCCATTGAGGTGAATCTATGAAAATATGAGTCAATTTTAAAGAGGACTCTTGCATCTTTAAGAGGCAATAATGGCACTTTTCAGGATACGTCCATAAATTGAGAACAATCTGTCACGTTGACGGACTCAGCTGACTCTTCCGTGAACACATGTCCACCACCAAAAAATGGCTGTGCAATCAGCATGATAGGCAAAAGGCATCTGAAAGGTCATTAAGGGGATTTGCTAACTGCTCTGCCCTCAGAAGTGTGCATAGATCCTGTCTCTGTCCTCGTTTTTGTGTTGTAATCCGTATAGCAAAAGTCCTTTTGTTTCAGGAACCAGGCAAACATGCCAGGTTTTATGTTTATTTACAGGAGATGAACTTGCTTGTGAGTTGGGTTTTGTAAAATTGGATCCAGCTTTAATCAGAGCTGAGCCAGTCCCTTGACTTGTGTTGCTGTCAGCTGGTTTTCATGGGAAGCATCTGGCTGGGGCAGGGGAGCACAGGACCTGGTGGAGGCAATGGGGGCTCAGAGGTAATGCAGGAGACACAGGGGTTTGTCTCCTGCTCAACAGTCCTTTGGTTTTGGACTGATGGGACAAGAAAGAATGTGGAAGAAGGGATGAATAAAGTGGATTAGGGGGTGACAGGCTTGCCCTGAGCACGGAAAAACAATTTCATAGAATGTAGAATTATTAAGGTTGGAAAAGACCATTATGATCATCAAGTCCAACCCCAACCCACCCCACCATGCACTCAGTGACACATCTCCATGGTTCTTGAACCACTCCAGGGATGGTGATTCTACCACCTCTCTGGAATAGTTCCAGTGCCTCACCAGTGCCTCACCACTCTTTTTGAGACTTATTTTTTCCTAATATCCAACCTGAACCTCCCCTAGCACAATTTAAAGTCATTACATCTTGTCCTATTTACCTGCGGATGATAGGAACCTCCATCAAAAACACCAGTGATGGTGGGATGAGGAGGGATGTCCTTCAAAGCTTGGTTAGGTGCCAGCTCCCCAGGTCTGACAGGAGCTCTCACATTAATGTTTGCAGTACCAGGAGCAACATTTAACATCATCAGGGCTTGGCTTTATTCTGTCCCTGAGGGCTTGCAGAGGTGGCAGTCATCTGCACCTTCCCTGGCACTGGTGGTCAGGCTGCCACCCATAATCCCAAGGCTGCATGAGCTGACCCCAAACCAAATTTGTTTGTGAAGATGTGGAAAAGAAGGAGATTTTGTTGTGTAATGTTTGCAGTCAAGGTTCTGGGGAGGGGAATATGGTCTCTGGGTCAGAGGATCTCATCTCCTGCTTGGCTCTGTGCTGACTCCTCAGCATCAGTGTCACAGAATCATAGAATCAATATTTACCCTTCCAGTTGAGTTGGAAGGGGCCCCTGAAGGCCATCTAGTCCCACTCTGTGCAATGGGGGTCACCCACATCTCCATCAGGTGCTCAGAGCCTCATCCAGCCTGACTCCAATGGCTCCGGGGATGGGACATCCACTATGTCTATGAAACGTCAGCCTGAAAAATGCATGGGAGCCTGTTCACCATTTACATAGCAGTGCTGGGGCAGAGGACATAGCGTGCATCACCCAAAAGTTCACTGGAAGACGGTGAAGGTGATCAGGAAGGGAAGAAACTTCCCATGCCTCGCCATCCAAGCTGTAAAAAGGGAAATACTGTGGGAGGCTGTCGCTGCTGGGGAGCAGCGGGTGGCAATTGAATGGGGCTGGGCTGTGGGCACCCACAGACTGTGTTGCGGGGAGAAGCGCCGGGCAGGGCGGTGGGTGCGGGGGGAGCAGCGCTTCTCAGTGCATCTCGCTAGAGGGTGCCCGCTCGCTGCGCTTGCAGCAGCACACAAGCCCCTGCCCAGGCTTGGAGGTTTTGGGCTCCGAGCGTCCTTGCCGGCTCGTCCCGTCCTCTTTTCATTGCCCGAAATCGGTTGCGGTATCTTCTGCACGGTGCGCTTGGGCCAGAGGTGCTGCCTTGAGAGTTGGTGGTGCACAAGGAGCAAATTGGGTTGATTGTAGGCAGTTCGTTGTTCTGTGTACAGGAAGCATCCCTCATCTTGGACGTGGTTCCCAGATGATGATGCCAGCCGCCCCCAGCCCTCCCTCTGATCCCCAGTGTTCCATTGGGGGTTACCCTGCATGCCTTGGTGGGCTTATGTGCCTCTCTTGTCCCCTTTCCCATCAGTACACTGCAGGAGGGGACTTCACAGGGATGTTGCTCCCATTGCTGGCTCTTGATCTTGTTGTTATTGCTGTCCTCCCAAAGGCAGGAGATGTGCCGTCCTCTTCCTCTCTGGACATTCTCCTTGCTTCCCTCAGATCATTGCTTTTCAGATTGTGTCTGAATTCCCATCTTGAGCACTCACACCCCTGTTAGACTGGAGCCTACAATGGAGGTCACAAGGACATTCTCCACCCCTCAAAATCATATCCTCAGTCCACACTTCTATGAAAATGTTGGCCAGACCCAGATCTGAAGCAAGCTTACATATTTGGGAGTGAGCCATTGCCAACCACTTGCTATGCTGTCTTTCAGTCACTTGCATCCTTTCCTCCTTAGTTGTTCCTACTGGAGATAATAGTCAGGCTTTCTGAGCCCAAACCATGCAACAGCAAATTCACCAATGTCCATGGATCTGCCCATGGGCACTACTGTTACCATCCTGGCAGGGTCTAGGGCAACTTCTCTGAAGGAACTATAATTAATTAAGAAACAATCGGAAAAAAACAATCTTTTGCATCTTCTCTCTTGCGTTTTTATCCTTCCCTCCAACCCTACCAAAGTTTGGAAGCTCACATTTAAAATACAGAGGAGAGCAAAAGGGGAGTGTGCCTTATTTTTGGCAGGCACTGCAGTTGTTAATGAAGAGTGACATTATCCGAGGCTATGGCAGAACAAGCAGAAGTCCAGCTCTCCATGCTTGGCTCTGCAGAGTGCAAACTGTTGTGCGGCCAAGGCTTTGAAATAAGTTATTCTTATTGTGATTCTTGTTTATAACATCAGATTCATTGTTTGCAATTTTGTTCGGTGGCATCCAATCAATAGCAGACAATAAAATATTATTTCGAGTGGCGTAGACGTTCCACGAGAATGTGATTGATTGCTTTAATTTCTGCCTTCCTCAGTGTTTTTACTAAACCTTGTCTTGATTTCTTTCCTCCTGCCTAGCTCTCTTCAGCATCAGTTGTTAAATAAAGTGACATATTTATTATATGAGTTTTATTTGACAGATTGCCGGGTGACATATTTTAGATTAATTTTTTCATTTAAAGATGTATGTAAATGTGCATGTGAAATTATATACATACAGACACACACAAATACGTGTACACTGTATAAACACAGCGTGTGCATGAACTTGCTCAAGGCCAACATTTCCAAGCAGAACTTGAGATTTTGGGTGCTGTTCTTAGGTGTTTGACGCCACATTAACGAGCCCAAACTCAATTTCCAGAAGGTGTGTGACCATGCAGTTCAGGTGACCAGGTTAGTGTGTGTTTTATGACGTTCCCAACACTCTGATAAAGTTTAACATCTCTTCAGTTGGGCAGCAGTAACAGCCATGTGATCACTCTTGGTTTTCCATGTCAACCAGGTTAACGTTAAGCCCACTACTGAGAATAGTTACACTAAAACACGTCCTGAAGGTGGCTTGAATGTGTATTTTTTTACAGCGTTATGTCCAGAACGTTCTTTGTGAAAAAAGGAAAACCACCGCCAACAACAAAAAGGAATTCATTGGGACTATTTCTAATAATGCTCAGTCCCTTGTGGAACACCTTTCTTTCTTTGAGTCAGGTGTGCATGGAGATTGAAGTCAAGCTCATTTCATGTACAGATATGGGCCGTGGGATTTAGTGCATCTCCTAAATTGTGGCCTACATGAGCTGTTTCTCCCCATAAATACTGCATGACTCCAAGTTAGGTGCCCTGGGACTTAGTGGCCAGTCCCAGAAATAAAGGATCTGGTGGAGGAGGCTCTGGGGAGATCTCATCGTGGCCTTCTAGTACTTGAGGGGAGCTTATAAGCAGGAGATGGACTGAATTTTGATACAGAACAATAGTGATAGGACAAGGAGGAATGGCTTTAAACTAAAAGGGGAAATTTAGGTTAGATGTTAAGGGGAAATAAAGGGAAACTCTTTACTCAGAGAGCAGTGAGGCCCTGGCGCTGCTGCCCAGATTGCTGTGTGCGCCCCATCCCTGGAGGTGCTCAGGGCCAGGCTGGATGGGGCTATGGGCAGCTTGAGCTGTGGGGGGCAGCCAGCCCATGGTGGGGGCTGTAACTGGATGGCCCTTAAGGTCCCTTCTAAGCCAAGCCATTCTATGATTCTATAATTCTGTGATGTCATAGAATACATGGCAACTGCTTCCAGCTTTAAGATACTGGGCTGTAAATCCTAGTCTTGGTAGCGGACTGAACGTTGCTTCGTGATGTGCCCAGTGTGCTGTGGATAAGGAATTTCAGAGCTGAAGAACAGCTGGGTGCTGTGAAACATCCATTCTTGATCCCCAGACGACGACTTCTTTTTTGTACTAATCTGAATTTTTCATTTAAAATGGAAATTATCTGAACTTGCTTAGCAATGTAGGATGTTCTCATAGCAGAGAAGCATTAAAGACTTCCTAGGCTCTGAACTGCGTGCTGAAAATAGAGTACATTTGTGTTTATTTTCTAATCCTTTCAAAATGTTGTTGGGGTAGGGCTTAAGCTCAGCCACATCCCTTTTCATGAACATAGCTTGTTGTCTCTGAGCTTAAAGAACACAACCAACAAACAACCAACAAATAAATCCTATTACTCCAAAATATGATTAGTGTTCTGGTTGGAGTTATAAATCACCTTCATTTAAAATGCACTGTTGCTACAAGTTAGGATTTGAAAGTACAATCATGCAAATGCCATTTGCAATGTTTTCACTCTAGTAACCTTGGCAATACGGCAAACACCTTTCCTGTTTGATACATACAGTTTTGGAATTTCAATTGTAATGCAGAGAGGGAAGCTGCCAATTTGTGCCACTTCTTGAGGGGAAGAGGTCATTTCTGGGGTAAAATTTGGCTGCCGCTGGAGCCATGCCTTTTAAGTCTGCTGGATTCTGGTGCTTTGTTTTATGTTATTTTATGCTGGTTATATCCAGCTTTACAATATTTAAGCCCTTCTTATAAATCAAAATCACGGAGCATAAATATTTATCAGCAAAAGAAATAAGCTGCACAGTAGACAAGCTCAGGAACAGAAAAAGCCAAGTATTGCTTATAAAGGCAAAAACAGCGAGTTATGTTTTCATCCTGTCAAAAGTTAACGTGTAAAAGCAGTCACAGACGCAAGCACCTTAATTCCCTCTTCATTTGATATTAAACACTCCAGATCAGTGTGGATATTCATGCTGCAACTTTGGGGCTGGTACAGGGAAAGAGTAGGGCTTCCCTTTGTTGCTTCTCCTTCCTGCTTAGCAGGCACACAGCCCTGGAAACAGCCCCCACAGTGCTGCTTGACCTGCCAATGTCTGCTTGTGGTTCCTGTTGGTGGACCTGGAGTTGCAGGTCAGCTTTGACCACTGTAGTGTTGCTACCTGCCTGATGGGGTGAAAGGGATTCTTTGGAAGAGGCATCTCATTGTGAATGTGGTAGAGCCAGAATTTCTGCTTGTGGGTGGAAAAAAACCAACATCCTCAAGAGATGTAATGAGAAACTGACCTTCATTAATCTTTGCCCTCCCACTAAAAAGTTGCTCTGATGTTTTCTCACACAGAAGGCTCCTCAGCAATGCTGATTTTCCAATGGCAGCCACTCTAAGAAATTCCTGTTCCCACCTTCCTCAAGCCATGGCTTTCTGCTCCTGGATGTCAGCCCTGTTCTTTGAGCTGGGCACACCTGAACCTGCTGTACTTCAGAAGGTGAGTGAGATGGCAGCACATCAGCACCTAGAATCACAAAACCTTTAAGGTTGGAACTAAGATCACCAAGTCCAACCACCAGCCCATCCCCACCATGCCCACTAACCACGTCCCTCAGTGCCACATCTCCACGCTTCTCAAATACCTCCAGGGACAGTAACACCACCTCCCTGTGCCAGTGCAGTACAGCTCTTTCAAAGAATAAGTTTTTCCTAGTATTTTCCTAGTTCCTCAAATGTTGGAGGCAGGGATCAGCTATATGTCGTTGCTCTTGAGGCCCATCTAAACCTTTTCAGAAGGAGAGGCTCTGGCAGTTGTGATCACGAACAGCAAGCAGAAAAGTTGGAAAGGTTATGTAAGTACAGCGTAAGTTATGTAAATACATCAAGCTGCCTGAAGAGGTGGTGGAGTTTGCTCCTTGGAGATTTCCAAAGATGTGGGTCTGCCTGGACGTGGGTCTGGGCACCTTGCTCCGAATGACCCCATTGCAGCAGAGGTTAGAGAGATGGACCCAGAGCTGACTTCTGATCTCAACCATTCTGTGATTCCGAAGCTGAGTGTACGTACAGAAATGGAGTTAGTGACTGGCTGAGTGCTGGGATGTGCCTGCCTGGCCACTTCCCTGGTCCCCATGTTCTTCCCCATGTGATCATGATAGGAGGGATCCCCTGGGTTCATGCATGGGTGGACAGAGCTTTGAAGGCAGAAGCAAGATGTCAGGAATTCTCTGATTTACAAGAGCAAAGGGCTCTCATCATTCCTGTAGGAACAGAACACCATCACGTACCCCACTTTTCTGCAGTGCTCACTTCCTACAGAAAGATTTTGCTTTGAAATGAAACACCTTTCCTGTGCCTTTTCAGCATGGGTAGCTAGCATGAACATGAAAGCAGCCATGGGCTGGGTGCTGGGGCTGTATAGGGGCCCCTCTGCCTCTGCAGGAGCTCTTTGTGTGACTGCTTTGTTTAGCATCGCCTTTTCAGACAGGCATTTTTCAACCCTTAGCATTGTTCAGGTTCTACAGCAGAGTCAAATGTTAATCGGTGTGTTGTAGTAAAATGTTTTATGGGACAATTTAGCTTGAGCTGTACCCTCTCCCTTTCCATTGTTTTTTCTCAAGGAGCACAAGGGGCTGTGTGATGCTGTTTTCCAGGTGTGAGCTCTTCTGACCACTCGCCATCCTTTCAAGCAGGGAATGCAGTTAGAGCACTAAAGTTGGAACTGGTGTTTCTCCTGTCTGTGGCATGTGGATGATCCTGTTTGCATTTGTTGGCTTTGAGTGGCAATCATTGCTCCCCACACAGATACCCAAGTGTGACATCCATCCCCAAGGACAAGTGCCATGCTCAGGCATCTTGTCCAAAGGGGACCATGTTTTTTGCCCATCTCCTTAAGAAACCCATCCCATGTCCAACCTTCCTTGTCACAAGTGGCACAGTGCTGAACGTGGTTCCCTTGGAAAATAAATTCCTGCATCACAAAGATGAAACTGTTTTGTTCATGGCTCCCATGGACAAGTGTGTTCTGAGAAGACTGACTCAAGTCAGAGGTAAAGATGCTGCTCACACCTCAGCTGATCTCAACAGCCATCTGAAAACCCCACTAGAGGTATAAAAAGACACATCTGCAAATCAAGATGTTATTTGGACACTCTTCTCTTTGGGAAAATTCCATAAAATTAAATAGTGATAGGAGCAGGAGAATGCTTGAAGTATTGAATATGCTGCTATGTACTTTTTTTCTCCATATACTGTAGAATTTTTGTGCATATCAAGATCATTTATATGAACACTTTAACACTTTATTTTCTATTCCATTTTGTTAGCAGGATTGAAACAGAAAACATAAGTGTCCATTACAGTATGTACAGCATCCTCCTAAGGATTTTGTTTCTGAGATCCACAAAAGAAGTGTGTTCTTCATCAGTTAAAGCTGTCCCTTTTTAGCATTTCCATTCTCTCCTAATCCCTCCCATTGTTGGAGGTCTTCATCCAGCTGCAAAGATAATCCTTCCACTTGGACGCCTAGGCTCCAAAATTCACCCTCTGCACAGAATTTCCCAGTCTTGATTTAATGTTTTGGATTTTGCTCAAATAAGAGGCATGGCAGCGTTGAAACAAGAATGTACAAATGCTTCTTGTCTTGTGTTGGTACTGTGGAAACATTTCACATCACGAAATTCTGCAGGAAGAAGGGCTGGATGGGAAATTTCCACGTATGCTGGAAATAGGCATAGTAAATAGCTGGGCAGTTTTCTACTCTGAGTCTCAGAGGACCTGAATCTGTTCAGGGATTTCTCTCTCTCTCTCTTTTTTTTTTCTCCCCATCTCCCAAATGTTTAGTTTTTGTGCTTCCTTCTTTTGGCCTTCACCTGTTTGATCTTGTGGGAACAGCCATTAAAGACTGAGGAGGCCCATCAGTGAATAATTGCTAGCACCCTGTAATTGAACTAATCAGAGGTGGTTAATTGTGATGGGAAAATAAGTGTAGAAGGGCCACCACTGTGGTTTGCAGGCTGGCAATGAAGCTGCTGAGCTGACTGCTGACAGACAATGAATGAGAAATATTTGAGTTTGGGTTCTCTTCCAAGGAATTAGGTGACTCGTGGTTTGTAGCCCTATCTCTAGGCACCTCCAATCCCTGAGCCACAGCTAAGCTGTATTAATTCCAGGTTTTGTTACCTCACCATGACTTACTCCTTTTTCCAACTTGGATTGTGATGTGCCTTAGATGGAAAAGTTTTGTTGCTGTCTTCTTTTGCCTCTTGTTTATAGAAGAAGGTGTGATCTGGAATGAGGGGTTTGAAATTACTACCCCAGTACCTGAGCGGAATCTCTACAACCTGATTCCTTCTCTGTTTGGAGAACTCTACAACTTGAGTACAAGGGTAGACCCTGCACAGAGCCTGGATGGGAAAACACCAAAAAGCCATTTTTTTTTTTCCTTTCTCTTCCTTTAAATTTTATAGAGTGTTCCTGTCATCCTGCCATTTCGGAAGAACCACATCCCTGCCTTCTTTTGCAGAGCTCACCCTATTCGTGCTTCCTTGGATACATGCCTTAAGTTGAAATGATTGTTGTGTTTTGCTTTCCTCATATTCTGACCAAACCTCTAGACTATGGCTTGGATGAGCCTCTTGTGCCAGCTTTTATTGTTTGTTGACAAGAGACTTGATTTGCTTTTCTTTTTCCTTTTCATAACTGATGGATGTGAATGATAGGAGAACAATGCCCTTTTTATTTTCTCCTAAGGAAGGATCCTCTCTTGGATGAGAGCTCCTGGGTTGTTCTGTTCAGAGCTTATGTAGAAATGTATGGAAAGATGGTAGGAAGTTTGTGGAAACTGTGTTGGGTGGTGGAATTTCTGGCCAGGGAGAAATATCCCTACCTAAAATACCTGAAGCGGGGATGAGTTGAGTGGTCACCTCAGAAAAGAGAAACTGAATTTGCATCACTACTGTAGATTGAAACACACTTTTCTGCATGCTTACAGTAGATCAATTGCTCTTCTCCTCTTGCACCTTTCTCACATCATATGGGTATCTCAATAACCATTGAGGAGGGAGAAGGTAGAAAAGAGCTTTCATTCCATTCCCTCCTCTTCTTCCTTGTTCTCTCTCCCCACTGAATGTCTGCAAGACCATGAGGTTACAGCTTTGCAGAACCAGCTTTTGAAATGTCCTGAAATGATAACCATTTCCTACCCAGCCCTACCCCTCCTGGGGGGGCTTGAGCTGCCACAGGGGATTTGCAGGATGTGGGTACCTCTGTGTATCCAAACGCCTGCTTCTCACAAAGAAACATTTCTGTTCCTCTGACGCTGTTTTTGTGTCACAGTGATCATTTTTCATTTTTAAAGACCGACATTCCCTTCAACTATCAACTTGCCACTCCTTTCGTGTGATGTATTGGGGACCCTTTGGGGACTTCTGTGAATACCAGAGATTGCCTTCAAAGAAACTGTGTTTTTCCTGTTTTACCTGCTGGCTCTCATCACTTGTTCTTCAACCTAAAAAAATCCCTAACCCCATGGGAAGGAAACCAGACAGTGTTACGCCACCAGGATAAGATGCTAACTGTACCTTACACTGCCAAGCCTGCAAAGCATGAATTCAATCCCAATTTAAAGTTGTTTTTAAACACTTAGGCTGCCTGCACAGCTCACAGAAAATCTCGTTTGTCTGGTTTACATGTCTCTTGGTATTTGTTCCACTTCATCCTGCAGTGTCCTCTTGTCTGTCTGCTCTTGGCAAGAGAAGCTGCCACTTCATAAGCATTAGAGATGGGCTTCTCACACTGTAGACTTACAAATAATAATAGAAACCAATAATGTTCATACTGTAAAAGCAAGTTAAGAAACAGCTGTATCTGGAAGAAGTATTCATATTTTATGAGAATCTCTGTGCAGCCAGCGAGGCACACACATAGCTGTGCTGAACAGGTGAACAAATAGAAATTTAGGCTACAAATACCATTTCCTAAACAGGAGTAGGGGCCTGCTTGCTTTTCCAGAATCGTTCTGGTTTTGAACATGGAGAGAGGTGAGGAGCTCAGAAGGGTGCATGCGGGAATGCAGGTGTGTCTTCAGGTTGCATATCAGGGACATGAAGAGTGTCCCCAGGGCAGCAGGCACAGCCCTGAGCTGCTGGAGTTCAAGAAACATTCGGACAGCTTTCTCAGATACATGGTCTGATTTTTGGGTGGTCCTCTGTGGAGCCAGGAGTTGAACTCAGTGATCCTTACGGGCTGCTTCCGACTCAGGATATTCTGTGATTATGTTCTTTTCAGTGAATCTTAACAGTTATTTTCCTTATAAACATGGTGTTACACACGATCAAAAGATGTTAAAATGTGTCATATTAATGACCTGCTTCATATTCAAGTTTCGTTCTGGCATTCCGTTCTCAGCCACTAATTTGAGTAACATTTTATTCACACTTGTTAACCGTCAGGAGACTCTAACTCAGTAGAAGTGGATATTCATTGATTTCCCTTTGATAA